TATAGATGGAAGGACGCCTGGATACTACTTCAGTGCCACTGCAAGGCCACAAGGAAGTCAGTGAACCAACATCGGGATATAGTTGTTATAGTTGTCCACCATACCGGCCGCAATGAATATCAGTCGGCAAAAGTCTGCCAGTAGAACGTGACTCAGGTGACAACCCGATCCTAACGAACCTCGTCGAGTGATAACGACAAATTCAGAATTGACCATCAATTTTATAATATTTGGATAAAATTGAGCTTTATGCATATTCAAAGAATATTCAGCTGAAACCGTGACCACTCAACGTTATTCTGACCTTTTCCTCTATTATACTTGTACGGCCGAGGTATACGTTAATGAAAATTTCAACCCTTCTATCGGGAGCTGCCAGTGAGAAATTAATTTCTGAAAACCACTCGCAGTAACATGTGTTTTCGATTCGCTTATGAAGGAATTGTGATATGTAAGGAAATTTTAATAATTTTGTAAAGTGAATTTGATGTCGTTATAAAAAAATATTTTGACAAGTTTCCCGGACTTGTCCTTCATCCAGTGCTTCAACCACTTCATAGTAAACATGCCAAGACCTGATTCAGGTCGCGATACTACCACAAGTTCAATAAAAACTCCCTGAGATTGAAAATGAAAAAAATATCAGGTTGGGAATTTTTTTTTAAATAGCTGAATTTCAGATCTAGTTACAGTAGCAACACCACCGGCAAATCAATGGAGCCTAAACCAGAAAATCTGAAAATCATCAGGTGGGTGATTATAGCCATGACTACCAACTCTTTCCGAACGTCTAGAGTTTACAGAACATATCTTACCGCCCCCCCCCCCGCCCGCAAAGATAATAAACATTTAAAATTAAATAAAAAAAAAAAATTCTCAACTTTTTCTGAACGCTTAGGGTTCCTCCTTCCCAAGAAAGTTAATGAACATTTTCCTTCAAATGATAAAAACTTGATTTATACTCTTGCCGAATGGTTAGACTTTACGGAACGTATGCCCCCCCTTCACAGAAAGTTAATTATCACTTTAAATTAAATTGAAAAAATTGAACTCAAAACTCTTTCTGAAAGATTTGACTTTACTGTGCATATTTTCCTTCCCCGCATCGCTCCCATAGAAAGTTAATAATCATTTGGATTTAAATTTTAAAAAGTTAACTCGAAAGTCTTTTTTAAAGTTTAGAGTTTACAGTACATATCTTGATCCCTC